ATATATATATATATATATATATATATATATATAAAAGTACTTAGTTTATTTGCGGTTATATTATATAATAAGCAATAGATGTTGAAAGATCAGAATACCCCGACCTTGTTAGATATGCAATATTCAAAGAACATAAAAATACTTTGGACTTGCTGAACTGTAATAAAAATGCCGAGGGGACGAATATGGGTAGGCGTAGTTGTTGATTTTGAAAGGAAAATGTGTGAAAACGAGCTATGACGTTGCTTTATGCGTAATTTTGAGCGTGCAAGTCCACATAATAAACGTCACGCGCAGATGCTTCGTAGGGGAGAATTTTTTTTACTGGAGAAGGATGAGGAGTTTGCTAACCAATTTGAATATGTTCAATGATGCAATTTCGACTTTTATGTATGTGGTGATGCATATTTCCTTTCTTTTTCATTTTTTTTTCTTTTTTTTTCCTATACCCATCTTCATTTACTCCACTGTTTAGTGGCTCAATATGAATGAACAAGTGAACTGAATAAAATGTTTTCTTTTTATAAATTTTATCTTTTACTCTGTTGTACCAAGTAATATAGATATAATTTAAACTATATAATCACGAATATAACGTAATTTTAACATCATTTGAAATATTTTGGAATTAATATGACTTATTTGTAAATAATATATTCAAACTTAATTGCAAATAATGTTATTGTGATTATCACACGTAATTTTATTGAAAATATCTTCAATAAATGTAAAAAGACAATTTTATTTATTAAAGATCGTAATAGTACGTACTAGCCTAATTGTTTAAAGTATTATATTTATTGTAATTTTATTATATCTATATCGGATATAAAAAATATACTATATCTTGTATAAAACAAAAAATGCAAAACTTTTTATTCAAGTTATAAATTAATCTAAAATTCGAAATATATGTTTAGACATTTATATATTTTAGATTTATTTTTATATTCACTATTTCCGTAGAAATGGCAGTTATCTGATTTGTCATCTATCTTAAAACGATGTCTAGGTCTTTTCATTAATTTTACTAATGTTTCTCCACTTTCGAATATCAAATATGATAGAAATGGAAATCTTAATTGGACAATAACAATCTTGACCAGTGGTTATGTCTCAGTAGATGAATTAATTTATTAATATCTCTCTTTCACTCGTGATTTATTGCCATCTTGAACAAATAATAAAATATGAAATTAAAATAAAGCAAGTTAATATTAACGATAGCGCTGTATGTGAATGCAAACTAAGTTAAATGTCGAATAAATATTGAACGGAGTACTTAAAGATCGAAATAGAGATAGAATAGAAATAGAGATATCGATAAAGTAATATGTGTAATGTAAAGGCAAGTCTCTAATTTCACATAATAATTAGAATATAGTGTAAACTCTAAAAATTATATACACCAAAGGAACACAATATATGATAAAAAGGGAAGATTCCGGATTCAATTGATATCGATTGAATAAAGCTATATTTTTTGCATTTCTTCGTCCATTTTTGGTTTCATTGTTTTAATATTGATTATCAAAATAATTTTACATAAATAATAATTAATATAAAATAATAATTTAATCATTTTTAATAATTATTTTGAATTTCTGTATTTATTAAAAGCTGTGGTATTAAATCGGAGAAGTATTCCATTTTTAGCTAATATAGTCCGAGTCGGCATTTATTTAAATTCTCATAATCTCAAATTCTTATATATATATATTTTTTGTTCCGTTAATATTTATATATATATATTTTTTAAATAATTAAAGAAATTGCATATGCTTATGAATAAAGTGCTACCTGATTATGTCATATAAATTATAATCACCTTTCATACGTTTTTATTGATAATTTATTAATTATGTTATAGAATTATTTATAATCCTAAATATTTTAATATTATATAGGGAATCAAAAAAAAATTTAATATATTATGATTTTAATTATTTAACAAATGTCATTATATTGAAGACTTGCCTTTACATTACACATATTACTTTATCGATATCTCTATTTCTATTCTATCTCTATTTCGATCTTTAAGTACTCCGTTCAATATTTATTCGACATTTAACTTAGTTTGCATTCACATACAGCGCTATCGTTAATATTAACTTGCTTTATTTTAATTTCATATTTTATTATTTATTGTCTCTTTAAATAAATAATAAGATAAGGAATTTATATTCTGACTGAAAATATTTTCCAAAAAATGTTAACATAGTAAATATAGATGTGAAAAAATTGGTAATAATGATTAAAACTTGAATATCTGTAATTAATTATTGAATATTATGATTTATTATATTTTATATGATGCATGGGACTTCAGCTTTATGTTTCCAACAGTTTCAATGGAACTTTTATGCTGTATTAGAAGAAAGACATACATTGTTCGGAATTATAAATATGATATATTTCATTTTCTTTTACAATTTAATTTATTAATTAGTAATAATTAACAAATGCTTGGTTCATTGAAAAAGGTAAGATAAATTACCAGATTTAGACTCTTTGTGATTAAAAAATATTATATATATGTTAAATGAGTTTGTCTCCCGTTATATTATAGTCAAAATATTGTGAAATAACCGTCTGTCACTATATCGGTATTCGTATTTAATGCAGAAATTAGATAAAATTCATAAATTTTTAATCAAATTTTTAAGATGTAGGGGTCTCATTAATTTTCTAAACTAATAACAAAAGAAGCTTCTTCTAAAATCTAATTCCGTAATTGCTAATATTGGTAGAACTGCTATTGCTATTTGTTTTAATAGGCAATTTTAATAAGAAGTAGGAGTATAAATCACATTTAATTTGTAAATAATAATACATAATATAATTATCAAATAAATGGTAGATATGAAAATATTTATACAGAAATACTTTAAACAATAAATTGAAGATTTAGCACAATAATACATAGTAGCAAGTTGTATGTAGTAAGAAACAAATTTTATGTAAATTAAGTTTGTATTAAACAATAATTTACATTTTTCATACAAATTGACGATATGATGAATAATTACAAATTTATTGAAAATAATTAAAATTTTGTTATTTTTATACCGTGAACAAATTTTTTTACATATATTTTTGTATCAGTTATTTACTTAGAAAATTCATTACAAATATATGTAATGCAGTTATAATAAATAATAACTATTAACAAGGAAAATTTAACAAAATTTCAAATTCTTGGAACTATCTTTTGCACAAATAACTATAAATAATTTAATCATTACATTTATTAATAAAAAATTTTACATTTTGTTAATTTATGTTGAATGTTAAATGTAAGATAATCAATGAAGTTATATTTAGTTAAATAATTATTTAAACAAATATAATTAAATAATGATTAGCGAGATATTATATCATTAATACTTCATGAACGAGAGACTTATTTTTTAAAATATAGTTTTGTTTTTCACGATCTAAGCATATATTGTTGAATAATTTTGTAGAATTTTAATCTCTACTGCTTTTCAATAAATAAAAGAAAAGATCTTTAATATTGTTCAGAAATGACTCACATGCACACTGTTTTTTATTTTCCATGTAATTTTAAATAAACACACGCACAGTTTAAAATCTTTTTTAATTATGTTTGATTTTACAAATATATATTAATTTTAAATATAAATTTAATTTTATTTACAAGTAAACTTAGACTATCATGAAACATAATTTTGGATAAAAAATATTTTTTCTATTACGTTTTATTATTTAGATTTTTAATAGAATAGATATTTATTAGTAATAAAGATGATGTCGCAAAATAATTTGTTATTTTTTGCATAATAATAGAGTTGGAAAATAAAATTATAATATAATATATCAATTTCAATATACTAAATTCTTTAAGCCAATGAAATATTGTAAATGTGACGCTTTTATATGTAAAAATGTCAAATTATTAAAAATAGTTTTAAAAGTGGTAGTTAATATATATATATATATATTCTGTATATCATATATATGTATATATCTGTAATAAATATGATAAGACACAGTAGCCGATAAGTAGTAAGATATATCGCGGAATCGTAGTATGCAATGGGTTATAATAAATTAAGTTGTAAATCGATAATGATAAGACATCAAGTATTTTATTATAAGATAAAGGATATATGTGGTGTTATTTGTGCTCTTTTCCATTTTTGTCGATAGTTTGATTCAAATAAAGGTTTCAACATTTTTATTGACCTCGATATCTTAGTAGCATGCGGTAGCAAATTAGGTACCGAATATTTCCTGATTTTATTACGTGATCATGTATATAAGATTATAAATAAATTATGATATTCTTCACATAAAATTCAATTGTAACGCATGTTTCCAGCATGAACCCATAAATTGTTTTATCAAAATTTCGTTATCAATGATTTTCGATAGGTGAGGCCAAGTACTTATAGTTTATGTAGATTTATAAAATTGCAAAGTATTATATACCAAATCAATAAGTATTATTTATAAAACATGAAGTAATTATAAATTCTCTTCTAACAATTAATTTTATTAGATTTTCTACAATTAGGGCAACAAATACAGTCAATAGAAAATTATTATTCGTTTCATATTGACAGTGTTTGATGTTTGCTTTGATTTTTTTAAAATAACCGAACACTTGTATGACGGCTTAAAAAAAAGAATATTTATTATCGTAAAGTCTCCTTACCACCGTAAATATCTACTCTTCGTATATATATATATTTATATATATATATATTTTTAAAGTTTTATTTTGTAAATAGTGAAATATAATATTACAGTATTTGTTCGCGAAATTTTTTTTTATATAGTATAAAATGGTTAAAAATGCCGGGTTAGTATTATTGTTTAAATTCGTTTAAGTGTGCCGAACCTATTCGCGCCACCATTTTTTTTGCGCGCTAATAATCAATTCCTCGTAACAAATTTCAAGCGACAGGCTTTTACAACTCGTCACTTGTTCTACGTTCATGTGCCTGCATTAAGTATTTTTTTCTTTATAGGTCAATCGAGGTGCGCGCCACGTGATGAGCCTAGTCAGTCTTCTGGCGACGACGACCCTAATTACCTTGGCTAATTCGACGCCGATGATTTATACCACCAATCAGAGAGCTAAGATACCCGTCGATTATGATCATCTACTACTCATGTTACTACTGAATCACCAGGATTTCGGACAGAAGGTTTCGACTAATTTTACAACTTCTCATCTTCAATTGCGTTATTTATATAATCACGGACGTATTTATTAAGCTGTCGTATGTCAAGGAAAACCTACTGTTTACCAATTACAAAACCAATTATAAAACCTACACTTTACTAATAGCACAAGTCTAATCGACCTTTAAATTTACATTTCTTTTGCATCCTCTTGGTATTAAGAAAATGATAAGAGGTATATGAATAAATTCCACTGCATTGGGCTTTACATTTTAGCGCAAAAGATAATTGACTTTACCTAAAATCGATAGTTCTATTTTTAAATTCTTTCGTTTAAAGACAGAATATTATATTTTTAAAGGTTTAATCGAATCGTTAAATGATTGAAACACATATTATGGAAATGTATAAAAAAATCGCATATTATTCACTATAATATATAGTTGCGCAAAGTTATTTGAATGATATTAACAATAATTTAAATACTCTATGAATTTAGAACGCATAATATTGTATGGAAAATGTTACGCAATTAAGATATTTCCTAAAAGCGCTTAAAAACTTAATTAATAAGAATATATGATTTATGGAAAATTTATGGAAATAATAATTACTAGCTTTGTAAGGTATTATGAAAAATATTTTATTAATGCAAATTAGATAATCACATATATCACTTTAGATATATTTATATCAATAAACCAGTCACTGTAATATCATTCCGTTTTTTTTTCTATCGCTACTCAAATAACTACTTTCATTGTAATTGTAATCATGCATTTATATTTATTATAAATGTTTTTATATTCGTTAAAATATAAAAAACGAATTAATGGAAAGGAAAGTATATTTTATAAATATAATATAACTATTTAACAGAATTTGATAACAGTGGATTAATTTGATAATTAATCTTGTTATAAGGGAAATTAGGATAAGCAAGATTATTTGTAATTCGTGCGTCACTTACGGATTTAAAACGAATCGTAAAATATAAAATTAATGACATCAATGAGACGAATATTGTGAAATTAAAAGGGATTTTTGGTAAGCGGATTGAACGCGATATAATTTGCAGATGATAATTCAAGTTGCCTTGAGATAGAAATAGCTCGATCTGTTAACAATGATATAAAGTTTAGAGATTATTGTTAAAAACAAGGGAATTCGGGAATGGAAGATTTGCGGATATTTTAAATATAACACCTTCTATCCTGCATTGTGATGGTAAGGTCCTTTCTCTCTCTCTCTCTCTCTCTCTCTCTCTCTCTCTCTGTGGCTGGCGGTCATGGAAGGTTTGGATTGGCTCTGAAAGTAAAGATCCTTTCCAGATTAAAGAGTCCCTTTCCAATGAGAGCTCGGCCCTTCGGTGCATGCGTATCACCACGATCTAGCTAATGCCCCGCTGGTCTTGCTTTGCAGACGAAGCCGCTGGAGCCGAGGACCCTGGAGTCTCTGTATGGTCGCGAGAAGAGGATCGGCTCCCTGTCGATCGTGAACTCGGTGGACGTGTTACGGGAGCGGGTGCTCCTGGAATTGGCGCGTCGCAAGGCGATGGAGGACCAGCGCCAGATAAGCGAGAATCGCCGACTTCTGGACTCGGTGGGCAAGCGCTCGGGTCCGGGGCCGCGGGAGCTCGGCTACCGGAGTCCCGGTGACCCGAGGAAGACAAGCCCGGGTAGCGGCTGCGAGGACGAGGGTCGGGAGAGACTCGATCGGACAATGGCCCAGGAGTTCTTGGTTGGGAGGGTGTAGGCGCGAGCTCACCTACCTCCTTAACGTCCAATTCGACTAGTCGATTATCATTTAGAGTGCATGGGGGCCACGTGCCAACCTGGGCAGAGGTCAAGCTTTTCATTTATATGCTTTGCCGCTGCTTGTTGTGCGATTGGCTAGAGCACGGGCATGTAAAAGCGGGGATAAGGGATTTGAAGGCGAGCGCTTTTGAATTAACCAAGTGAATACTTGGAGATCCCGTCGGGCCTGGAATTCACAACGCTATGCGTATTTATATACCTTTGGTTAAAATAGTTGGTGGTAGTCATTTTGTAAGGAACGCTAATTGGTAATAAAATGTAGTTTATTGGAAATTAGTACAATTGTGAAAATTTTTTCGTCGTATATTCGGCTTTACGCTAAATTCGCAAAGCTATTATTAATTAGTGGAAATAAAATGTCTGGATACATCCAAATACTTTTATCGTGTTTTTAATTTCTAGCGAAGAATTCTTTCAACTGCAATGGTTTAGTTTTTTTTGTTTTTTTTTTTTTGTTTTTGTTGAAATTGACATATATATGATTGTTAAAACTGCGTTTAATTTTTATACTTTTCATATAATTAGGAATTCATATACTTGAGAATTATTGCAATTTTCATTTAAGGTAGATGGTGGAATGAAAAAAAGAATTTCCTTAATTGTCAAGCGCTTATTAACTTTTGAATGTGAATTTTTTTTCGATTTAGATGCATTGTAATTGTTTTCAAGTTTTGAATTGGAATATAGAGGTGAAAAGTTAAATTTATTTCATTGAACCAGTTGAGAACAATGTTTTTATTTCGGAAAATGCAGAAAATTATTTAATTTGCTCATATTTTAAGGATAAGAATCTAATTGGTTACTATGTCGTGTAGCTTTATAACTTATATTAATCGTACTTTATAACAGAATTTAATAAGAATCTTTAAAATATACAAACGTATTATTTTGTATTGATAACCATATTTATTCATAACAAAGTTATGCTATATCGTACATTGTCGTACTTATTGTCCTAAAAAATCTATTAATTTTGGAAAATAAATCAAGTAAATAATATGTTGTTTAAATTGCATTAAATAAATAGAATATATACATTTATTTTTACGTTTTTCATTTCTAAACATATAAGTGCAACTGAAGTGCTTATTTTATGTAAGTAAATTTCTAATGCCAGAAATAATAATTAAATTAGGGCAAAATATTTTATATCATTTTTTAGAATTTGCTGCTTCATAGATAAAGTTACTAAGAAGAAAATCCTCGATTAGTTTATAAACAATTCAAGTACACTAATTTCTTGTAATTTTTTTTAAAACAAATGCTTTGAGACAAAAAATAAAAACAATAAAACTTCAAGTACCATTTGTATGTAATTTTATCTTTCGCTGAGCTTGCCATTATCATTAGTTTATATATTACTTACGTACTTTCGTTGTTTATGCGAAAGCATTTAGAAAAATTATCGTCGTTTATTTTGACCAAAATATTAAATCGTTATTATAAAATCGTCAATAGCCCAATCAATTTTATCTACTCGTCAAATTATAGAAGGGGCTTTCATGTTCAAATATAATTTGTCAAAGTTACAAAATTTTACAATAATAAATACTAAATTTATTATTAACAAGAATTCTTATTATTTCTAAAAAAAAAACAACATATGATAAGAAATAATTTAATATAAAATGTAAAATATTTTGTAAACATTGCAAAAGTTTCTATTACTGATCTACTATTATATTTAATCATTTTTAATTGATTAAAAATTCATAAGCAAAGAGATTCATTAGTATTATTAAAATTAAATACAATAGTTTAATTTTTTAATTTTTATTATTCTTATTTTTAGTGTGAAACATTATCTTTTACTTATAAAATGAACTGTACATGAATAATGCGCTGCTTTTTATGTGATATATGAAAAGAAATAGTTTAAGCGTTAATTTTTTACATTATATAATATAGCATATATATATTAATGAATTATCATTCTTTCATAATGATAACAATGATTCATTATAACAAGAGAATTACAAGAGAACCTATAACTAAAACACTTTTAATAAAATGTAATAAGTTGATAATTGAATTAGACACATCTAAGTCTAGGAAGTGATAATTATATAGGTATTTTTTAACATTCTATTAATATCGTAATTAAAACTTCCAATAATAATTCAAATTATAAAAATATCACGTTTAAAAAAAAAACCGAAGAATACACATTTTATATTTTAATTTTTACTTGTCTCTTGAAGAAAAAATACAAAATGACAATCTATGTAGATTAATTTTTTTATTAATATATACTTGCATAAATATCGTTTATATGTCACTATTTTTATTATTTAAAATATTCTTCTTAGTACGTTTCTACTCTTATATTATGCATAATCTACTAATCAAATACTTAGTTATTGTTGCAATGATAGCGTTAACGAGAAGTATGATTTAAAGTTTCAATCTGTTTGCACGTTAAATTTCATTTACAATTTATGATGACTTTATAAAATTAGCAAGCAAGAATTATAAGATTTACTAAATACAATTATTTAAGAGAAACAATGGAATGAATCGTTCGATATCTTAATCTTTCCCCTGTTAAATAAAGATGTTTATTATTATTATTATTATTATTATTATTATTATTATTATTATTATTATTATTATTATTATTGTTATTATTATAATTATTATTGTAATTATTATTATTCATCATCTTTCGAGAATCACCATTATATTGAATTTTAAATCGTATTTTGAATTAGCTTGTAATTTATATTCCATAATGATGTAAACATAATCAAAAAAAAATTTTCCACCGTATTAAATTGCATTTTTGTAATCTCCAAATAATATTCAGTAATATAATATGTACACGATGAAAATAATTTCATTTTTATGTAGTCAAAACATTAAATTTTCTACAATCCTTGGATCAGAAAACATAATTTTAAAGTAATTAAGATATGAAATTAAGAAAAAAAAAACAAATACAATAAAGGGGATCGAAAAATTGAAATGTATATTATATTTTCATTTGAGCAGAAGGTTTCTTCATTAACAAATAAACATATTTGTTAGCAATATAAATTATTCTTCGGATTAAAGTCATTTGTTTTTGTTATTCTATTATGTTGATTTTTTCTGATACTACAATTTAGATAACTTATATTACGAATCATTATTTTCATATACATTCATCATTTAATAAGATTTATGAAAAATTGTTGTTTGGGCTGAGAGACTATTGCAACTACATTTTCACAAACTCAATTGCGCACGGCACGTTATAACAAGTTTTAAATGACAGAACTACTTTTCTGTGAACAAATTAGACAGTAAGAAAAAAAAACTACCTACAGATGACTCTACGATAAGATTGATTAAAAGTGAAATTTCCACATGCAGTCGACAAGCGTAAATAGAAAGTAGAATTTCAAATACTTGAAAATGCCTGGTTGACCGATTACATAAAAAGGAAGAGCTGTTAATAAATGTATACTTATCAATTTTGTTATGCATTTGCAAATATTTTGTCTAATACGATGTACGGTAATGGATATTCAAAAAAAAAGAAAAAAATATATAACATTTATGGATAATATGAAGGAATAAAAAATATTAAATTTCTGTTGGACAAATGATGTTTCCTCGCATGTTCCTTGATATTTTTTTTTTAAGATATCATACACTGAGCACGTAACAAAAAAGTTCAACAAATATTTTTATTTTTAATTCTTTTCAATTTTTCTAAGATATATATCTTGAATTTTTATTCGTAATATAATTAAAAACATAGGCTATGTATAAATTATTCTTATTACCAATAATAATAATAATAATGTAATTGCAAACTAATTAATTTAACCCTGATTTTATTATGCTTCGTTATTAATTAAAGTGTACAACACATAAATGTAAGGCAAGTAATAAACCGCAATTGTTGTAATATTACGTGGTAAATATCTTATATGGTAAATAACACATATAACATTGCGTTCGATTTGACCATTTCAAGTTTCTGTTTACAAGCAGTAGATAAGGTAGAGTAAAGTGTGACAGATTGCCTACAGAGGGCAGCAGAACTAGGCCTTTGGACAATTTCATGGTTGATTTTTTAAAACAAATTCTCATTTCTCATTTGAATATTATGCTAGTAAGTTAATAGTCACTTGTTCATAATAATAATTTCATTTTTATATATCGCTATAAATTTATACAATAAATGTGTATAATTTTTATTTGATATTATTTATTAAGAAGGTTAATTAGTTTAATAAACTTATTTCTATATAATTATTTAATTTTGAATATAATTTATAATTTTCTATTATATATTGCATACAATTTTAAATATATGTATTTGGCGATAGCCACTAGTATATATAATAAAAAAAAAAATTTATGATATTCATATTATGAATATGCCTATATATATGTGTGCGCGTGTGGTGTCTATAGACAATAAAATAATATTATAGTATTTTAATACTATATGTATATAAATATATATTCTATACTCTATGTATATAAATTAATAGTTAAAATTAATATCTACAATATTTCTAAATCGAAGAATTTATACTTTCTATTACTCTTGAGAAAATGAATTTAAAATAAATATAAATTCTATTAACAGTATTATTTTAAATGCAGCATATAACACTAATATTATATTTATAAGTATTCATTAGTTGAAAGGTTTCTTTTTATGTTGAGATAATTTTTATGCTTAAGCTATTTAAAAACTAATTAATAACATTTAAAAAAAAGTGTAAATATGGAGGAGCATATTTTTGATGAAAGTTATAAATAAATAGCATTTATTATGTAAGATCTTATAAATCAGTTTATTATATAATTATTAATTTAATAATGTAAATGTTTATTGCAAATTTATGAGACATTAATAGTTGTTTCATGTTTAAAAAAAAATGAAAAAATTCAACACTCGTTCAAATAATTAATAAATAAAATAATTATATATAATTTTCAATTTTAACCGTGATTTAGAGTAGAATTAGAAAAAGAAAAAGAAATTTGAACTGCTTAAACGCGTGTGTTTAATATTCATCAGTTTCAAAAAGTTTGTTAACTAAAATAAAGCTTCCAAGGTTTTATATTGTTCAGAATAGGTAGTTCGACCATGAAATTGTCTAATCTTTTGATAAAAAAAAAGGAAAACTTTTCGAGCGTGTAACAGTTAATATTCTGATATGCATGTGAATATGTATAGATACGTATTCACATATATAATAATATAATAACCACAATAAAATAACCATAATCAAATATATAATAACCATATATTCACTGGTATTTAATCACAATTTGTACCTTTTTTTCATCTTGAAGCATGC